CAGGTACAGCACTCTGTGAACCTCGAAGTGCAGATTTCGTGGCAGGCGCAGCACTTGGTGAACCTCGAAGTGCAGATTTCGTGGCAGGCACAGCGCATGGTGAACCTCGAAGTGCAGATTTCGTGGCAGACACTCGAAGTGCAGATTTCGTGGCAGGCGCAGTACTTTGTGCTCTCAGAGCTCACTCTCTCACTCTCCCACTCTCACTCTCCCACTTTCACTCAGTGGCTGCAGGCCTTTCAGGCTGATTTGGCTTGGATGGGCATGGGGGAACTTGTTGGGAGGCCCTCCAAGTCACGTGGAAAAGCGGCAAGGCTGGAAACGCTTGGTGAAAATGGCTGCGCTGCTTGGCCGTGTTTCAACAAAGACGGTTCAAACACGAAAGGGTTAAGATGTAGTTGTTTGTGGGTGCGGGGCTCGTTTTGGGTCCGAGAGGGCCTTCGCAACACATTGTGGGCGAGCTCATGGTTTCCGTGCACCTGAACATGCACTGATCTCTACACCCCTATGCCCAGTGTGCCTTCGTTTTTACTGGTCACAAGCTTGGCGGCAATCATATTTGCGTTACATCCCTAGTGCTTTGCATGGCTGTTAGCTGCGCAGTATGACGAAGAGCTCCCCGATTCTCCCATTGTGGTGAACTCTTTCCGTGGGACTGCTTGTGATTGTGCTGCAGCTCCAAACTCAAAAGTCTTTCTTCGTGGGGTGAACAACTACGCGCAAGTTGAGCCCTCAGTCCTGATTGGATCAGTTGCAGCATATGAGCATCCAACATTAACCCCTGGGTCTTTGTCTTGCAATCGTCCTCTATATTGGAGGGATCCTACTTCCAAGCAACATTGCACTGCGTGACGATGGAAACTGGATCGCTACAACCTTCTTGTAGGCGTCAACAAGTTGAGGCTCGACGCTACAGTAGATTCTGATGCAGCTTTCAGGGAGTTTAGGGTGAAACTTGGAGACCTCCTACTATTCCTGATCCTGTCCGAAGGCCGTGCCGGCTTCCATCCCAATCGTGGGTTTGTTGCAGAGTGGAAGGATGCAAATGAGCGTGGCTGGTCGTTTCGGATGACAGATGAAGTGGAGCGCCAGATTGCTGAGTCAATCTGGCCCGACATGGACCACATGCATTTACAAGGGTTGGCCCTTGAATTTTACGCACCGCCTGGTCCCGTACAGTGTCCTGTTTGTTGGATTGCAGGGAAACCAAGGGTCCAACTCAGTTCCATGCTTGGACAACCGCTTGGAGGACTTGAGGACTCCTATGCCAAAAAATTTGACTTAGGTAGGGAGTGCAGAAAGGGCTCTATGACACTGGAGCTGTCGTGGGGGGTGCCAATTCAGCTGTGCTCATGGGCAATGTTCTATATGAAATGATCTTGTTGAATTGAAAGGATTCTCATGTATAAAGTGATCGTGGAGCCGGACCCTGGTTTTTACCCTTTCACCTTTTCTAATCAGTCTATTGAGAGGACGCTGTGGTCCTTTCATTTTGAACATAGTGCGCATGTTAGCTGTTTGGGTAGATGGCTGCGATTACTTTGACCATTAAAACGTGCCATGCAACGGGGATTGTGAAGGGCACCAAGATCTCTGAAGCGCGGTCTTCGAGCGGAAAGGGCATGAGAAAAATGGTAGCTGGGCAAACAGTTGCTTTCCACTGGTATTCAGGAGAACGCGTTTGTACGTTGATGTGGAGGCGGTTTTTCAACTTGAATGTTGAGACGATGGTTCATGAACTTGGTGCCACTGCCTTGCTCCCCACGTGCGAATCTGTTGAGGACTGTCTTGCGCCTTGACCTTGTTTCATGGTAGTGGGTCAAAGAAATTTGCGCACTTTCATCCCATGATGATGTGTGTGTGTCCACACCTGTTTCTAAGGAACCTGCATTGCATAATTCACCACCGTTCCAAGCAGGGGGGCAACGGCCAGTCTTCTTACGTTGCCCAAGGAAGCTACAGAAGACTGGTGGAAGCATTCAGGGACGCCTGAAATGTGTACCTCCCCTTTCATCTGGAGCTTGATGCTCCCCGGCCTTAAGAGAAGAGAGGCTCTGCGCATCTGCGGGCCAAAGAGATGCGGAGTGCATAGCAAAGACCGGCAAGTGCTGGAGGAGGATTTGTTAGAGCTGAGAGAGTCATTGGCTGCCAGAGGTTTTTTTCGTGTACTTCAGGAACGCAGCTTCGCCCAGACCTTCCCCACCGTCATCTCGCTTCTACTCTGGGGCAGCTCCTGCGCGGCTTCCTCAAAGCGACGCCTCTGTTCACCCTATAACCAAAGCCAGGAGATGGCAGGAAGTTGAAGCTGAAGCCTACGTCCACAAAGCGCTGCGCCTGCCACGAAATCTGCACTGCAAGGTTCACAAAGCGCTGCGCCTGCCACGAAAACTGCGCTTCAAGGTCCACAAAGTAGTGCGCCTGCCATGAAATCTGCACATCAATATTCACATTGCGCAGCCCTGCCAAGGCGATTCGCGGCAAGAACGCTTCCTTTGTTGACTATTCTCTATGATTTTTTGCCCATAAACCTCAAGAACGAATAGACACACACACACTTAGATATAGGCTTGCAAGAGCATTGTCAGTTGTGATTGTTGGGTGATGCTAATAGTCCTATATGTTACTGAAGATTCGACCTTGACTTGCAGAACGGAATGGCGACAGGCTGGAAGAACAGAATGTTTCAACAAAGCGCGTTGGCCCTTTACGGAAGAGCGGGGTAAACAGCTCGGATAACATCACAACCTTGCAGGTACGCCAGACTGATTTGGTCTGCTTTCACCGCCGATTGCAAGTGTCTTCGTTGGCAGGAAACTTGCAATGGTGGTCCTGCCCCTGCTTCGACTGTACTTTAAATTGTGTGAGCCCTTGTAGGGTTGGACGCACACATGAAGCCGCAACAAAGCTCCGGACTAAGAAACCTCAAAATTAATTCTAAAAAACCTGAGAGGCAGACCTACCAAACGAAGAGAAACAGAAAGGTGCGGTGGGGTGGCGGGGGGGGGGATGAAAAAGAGGGAGAATCGACTAAACGAGCCTGAAGTTTCACCTCGAGAGGCAGACCCAACAAACGAAGAGAAAAACAGGAAAGAAAGGTGCGGTGGGATGGTGGGGGGGGAGGATAAGAGGAAGAATCGACTAAACCTGAAGGGCCACGTAACAAGCCTCGAGAAGCGGGCCTAACAAACGAAAAGCACAGAAAAGAGAGAAAGGCAAAGGAAGGGGAGGGGAGGAAATTGCCAAAGGCACGCCCGATTAGCCGTATCGGCGCTCCCTTGACTCGAAAGGTACCTGAGTTACACATAACAAGCCTTTGGCAACAGAATTATCCCGGCAAGAGACCCCAAACAGTGTGTGTGAGATCTAGACGCATTGGGGTCCAGAGAGGTGATGGTGGCGATGAAGTGTGGTGACGGTGGTGAGTGAGTGAGTGAGTGAGTGATTTCAGCTTTATGCCGGGGCACCTTCGAAGCGCTTGAGGTTGCCTTCTTGGATGGGCTGGAAGGCTTCATTCCGGAAGTGGAAGGGTTAACCCCTCAACAGGTTTTGACTGTTTTTTTCACATGGCGAATGGAAGGGGAGCGTGCCAACTCCATTTGGTGGCAACAGGCCATTGAGACCAGTGAAGAGGGTAGGATGCTGCGAGAGTCCCACAATTTAGCAGTTTGGATTCAACGTTTGAGCAAACTGGACATCATGGAACCTCATCGCTGCATTTCCAAAGGACTCGCCATTGAGAGTGAACGCACCAAGCAGGATCTTACACGTGAAAATTTTCCTGTGGTCACTATTGGTGGGACGGAGTGCTTTGTCCGCGACCTTGGTGTTGCTACACTGAGGTTGCTGCATGATGGTTGACCGCGGTCTTTGTGACTGCCCTTTAATTTAGCTGTTCCATGCTTTTCCCCGCAGCTAACGCCACGAGCGCATCTCAGATCGGCAGTGAATGAAGAACAATTGGTTTTCCAAGTGACTTGAAACTAGCAAGCCTACCAAATCGATTTTCCAAGGATAACCCTTTGAGACAGTGATTGGAGACATTGTTGTGTGGGTGTTATGTAGGTTTGGAGGGTCCAAGTCTGAAAGTATATTAAGTATGTTCCCTTGGTTTCTTGGCAGTTCTGTGTTTCGGCAACCAAAGCGGTCATGACTCATTTGCCTGTCCATGTCAAAGTTCTGTGCAGTGCTTGCGTTGTCTTCACCAAGGCATCTTCACAGCCAAACGGTTCATCAGGCCGTGTTGGCCGCCAAAACGTCCCTTGGCACCAGGTCGGGGAGTAGGCCAACCTCTTCCCAACCGGTCGACCATAATGTCCGGCCGACCTCTTGGGCTTGGACTGGCGGGCAGAGACCACGATTGAACTCATTTGAACTATATATTTTCATATATGGATCCTGTTTTTTGGAGGATGCCGGGCTGAATGATGAAACGACTGGTCGTAGATGTGGAGCGACCTTGCAAATTAAAGAATTGGACCCTCCAAACCTACACACCGGTGTCGAACACATCACCTGCTGAGAAGGTGCTTGGATCCCTAGGGTTAGTGCTGGCCGCTGTCCAATCCAAAATGTTTCGGACACGGTTTCTGCCTGGGAACGATCTGCAGTCCTGAGGATGGGCCTCCAAGCCCTCTTCGGCCCTTGTGCCACGCTGCGGTGTCAGGCTGCGGTGGCCCAACCGTCGGAGTGGCACCGTTGGTTTAGAAGAAATCCTAAAACGTAACTAGATTATATATAGATATACATTTAGGATGCATCTACATCTGTGAACTATTGGTTTACATGTAATTAATCAATTGTAATCACATGCTACATCAGTGTTGTGTGAACATGAGATGCATCAAACATGATGCACACATGCAGTAGACGTGTCTACTACCCACCCACCTTTACCTTTCCCATGGCAGATTCTGTGGAGCAAAAGAAGTGCAGTCCGCTTTTCACTCCGCTGCAGTCGTGGTCCAAATCCGACAAAATAGTTGGTCGATAGGTGCATTCCCTATGATCCAGTCGTACCGAACCTCAGGTTCGGTACGACTGGACCCTCCTGGCACCTACATGGTGCTGAGAAGGTACTTGGATCCCTAGGGATTCCTATTCTGTTCGAGGGACGTTTTAAACGTTGCAGTTGAGTCTTCAATTGCTGCAAGTAATTTGTTTGTTTGTTGTTCATTTTTTGGCTTAGGCAGCCTGCTGGTTCATGGGTAAGAGATGGTTGCAATGTTCACTGAGTTGAGGGTGGACTTTTTTTTGTGTTTGGATTGAGGGACCCTGGGAAACTGTAGAAATGCCAAGTGTCCAAGTTTTGTATTGTAGGAAAGGGTTTTGAGGATGCAACTCTGGCAAGTCTGGCACCATTTGACGTCCAGCCAAAAATTCTGCAACAAGTTGTATCGTGCCTCAGGATTTGCCAGCAAAAAAACCACTGAAGGTTGAATGTTGTACTTTCATGTACTTTCAACATCTTTCAACCAGGTTTGAATTGTGCCGTTTGTTTCCTATCCGGACTAGACTAGACCTTGTTTGTACTGCTCCCAAGCCCCAGGCTGCCCCAGGTCGTGTTTCCTACCCTCCGAAACGCGCCGCGTGCGCTGGCATGTGCGACGAGGCGTCGGGGAGGGATCATCTGCAGTACGTGGCAGTGCCCATGACGCTCTCCTTGCCGCTCTTGGTGGAGGTGGACGAGCCGCGGGGCAGCGCTGCGGGGATTGGAGAGGATTGGTGCGGTGATGTAGACTGTTGATTTAAAAAGCAAGCTCCAACGAGAATGGTGTTTTAGTGTTTTTTCCAGCGCTCCATATGTCAAATTAATTCAAGAGTCGACATTTAGGGTGTCATATTTATTTTTTGAACCTGCAAGTTTACGACAGGTCAAACTCCACTGATGGCTGGATGTTTTTAACTATATGCTTTCATTGTCATCTTGTGCCACTGCGTTCTACGTACCAGTGAGTGATCCACAGCCCAAAGGTTCAGTCGGTTCCTTACACGACCGCGCCGGTCGACCATCAGTCTCTTCATTTGATTTGCACATCTCCTCCCCCGCTTGATCTGTTAGCCCTCAACCTGGACATCTTTGGGATGTTTTTTTTCCAGACATCCGCAGATGATCAAGACAAGCCTAGTGGTTCAAGTGTGCCCATTCCATCCCCAATCACCAAGCTGCCAGACATGCACCAAGCTGCTTGTGCAGGCGCCCAATCACCATCCAAATCTTCCAAAGTCTCCTCAGTTTCTGGCCTTCCAAAACTCGGAACAGGGTAGCGCGCAGAAAGACTCAGTTGTCCTGTCTAGTCATCCTTCGCAATTCTAAGAGCTGGTCAAGTCCCAGAATGAGCTGCAGCTGATGTGTTTTGCGAGTCATCTTAACAACAAAATCATCACGAAGCGCCAACGAGTGTTTGATTGGAGCTAACCGCTAACCCCTCCTTAGGTGGTGCTTTCGGAATTGTTTTCAACCTTCACTTGTGATGATGACCAATATGTTTCAAGTGAATTTAAACATGTTTTAAGCCACCAACAAGTCATGTTTCATTTCCCAATGTTTCATGGACATGGTCGTTTCGTCTCGAGGGTCACCCTTGGTGGGCGTGTTCTGGTGGTGTGGGTCCACCCCAAAAGCTAGCAGCACATGGAAATTCACTCACTGGCCAATGGACGTCATGCCTACAAGACTACAGGGTGTGTATGACATTGTATGACTACAACCGGGAGACTCCCAGTCTACCCTGGCTGGGTATAGACGGGTCGATGTTCCTTCCAGGGGATGAGTCAGGATGCCTGGGAGGTCTCCCAATATTTAATATACATACCGTCAATCATGTGCTTCCTTTGGTCGACCGTTCAGTTCGGCCGAAGCCGAAGCCGAAGCCATGCAGTTCGCGATCTCGACGTCTCCGTCCAGGTGGAGACCACGGCGTTGCAGGACGCTCACCTTCTCTTGGGCATTGAATCTCATTCCGGCGGCTTGGTGAGTGGAGCACCCGCGTGTCCGCAGCGATAAGCTGCAAAAAGGTGGATGATTGGATCGGGATGTGACGGTGAAAGTGGACGGGCAAATAGCGTAAGGCAAGCAAATAACTTTGGTACCTTTTTTTGAAGGGAACTTGATTGTGATTTCTTCCAGAATGTGTTGCTTTTGCTGCATGGGCTTGCTTTGATGCTGCTTCTGTGTTTCTTTTTTTTGTTGCTTGTGCTTTGACTTGCATGCTGGGCATGGCATGCTCGCTCGCTTGATGACTGTTGGTTCCCTTTTGGTGACTGATGGCTTCTGGTGGGTTCTGTTGCTTTTGTTTCAACTTATTTGCTGCTCACGGCGCGGGTCGATGAGTGACCCACTTGGGTTCAACTGGAGTCCTCTTCAACGAGGAGGCCATTTCAACAAACATGCCTTTTCAACAAGCATCCTATCCTAACCCCAAAGAAAGCCTGTAAGAATCACTACCCCCTTGCGGTGCTTGACCCCCCAGGGGGTCAAATTTGTAATTTACAATGTTTGATTTTACGACAATAGCATTATATAAGCCTATAGGGGGGGGGGTGAAAATTGTTATATAGGGTTGAGGTAGCCTATCTGAGGATGCTACTTTTTTTACCCCTCCCTCAAAGAGGTCTTGGCCTACTTCTTGAGACTTGGAAAGGAAGGGGGTGTCCAAATTGTAAAAATGGATGGGTGGGTACCTCACAGAGCAAGTTACAATTTCCCCCCGCCCCGTCGGCGTTGTTTTTGTTTTGCTTTGCTTTCGTGACTTTAATCAGGCCAAGGCAGCACAAATGGCTCAACCGAGAGTTTGGCAGAAAATACAAGACTAAGACCTAGGCGATTAAAAAAAAACACGTTTGTTTTGATGAAGGAAGGTGCCAAACCTTAGGTGCACTACTATATATCAGACCTGAGAAATGAATTCATATTCTGGACATTTGTTCAACAACCTGAACATTCCTCAGCTTTGGTAGTACGTGCTCGGTGAGCGTCACTGGAGCCCGATCATCCAGCCATTCCACATCCATCCACATCCAATGTCGACTACAGAAATGCGAACAGTGGGGAACTGGAGTTTCTTCCAGAAGTTGCCGAATGCCTTTGAGGCACATGGTGAACAGCTGGTGGACAGTGCAGGCATGGTGAAGGTCAATCACACGAAAAAGGCGTGGTGTACCTTCATCAAACGCATCCCCACTTATGTTGATATCATTTTGTCCGGAAAGAGCGGCAAAGAATACTCTACGTCCATCTTCTGGAAGTTGGATGACTTGCAGCCCAGACCGGAGCATGAGTTCAAGAAATGTTTGGCAGGATTTCTCAAGCATGTGGACAGTATTGCTCCACAGATCCTTGAGCTTTAAAGAATGCGTGCAACGTGCATTGTACGGAGGAGTGTTTCGGGCTTCAGCTTTGGGGTTGAGAAACTCATGAACGATCATGAACGCGTAAACAGGCCGCGCGCTCAAAGCTGTATGCGCCAAAAGGCTACTTCTTCAAATCTGGCACTCAAGCCGACTTTGCAGAGCGGATGTACCTGACACTGGGTTCGAACCTTGGTGCTCCGTATCATCTAAATCACAGGACCAGGGGGGCATTATGTTGTTATATTTTGTTTGTTCTAAAGTGATCCGGGTGCCTGCGTCAGCCATCCGCGCAACTCATAGAGCCAGTGAGGCGCACAGGTCTACCGGTCCAAGGGTCCAAGACTTTGTCATCAAACCCATTGGTATACCCAACAAGCACATCGATGTAGAAATACCAAACCAAGAGAACGTATCAGTGTATCATATACGCGTGAGTGTATAATAACAGCCCCAAGCTCTGACCTTTCTAAGATGGTCCATCTCAGCAGTATCACAATTGCATCGGTTGCCTCTCAGTCGGCAGTGCGCCTTGTTTCTGTTTGTTTTTTTCTTCAAGAGCAGCTTCAACTGTGTTTCACCCGAACGTCAACCAGCCCACTCATGCCCACTGTAACATCAACATCGTTGGCAACTTCAATTGAACGCAACACAATAATAGCATCAACTGTGTTTGCATTCGCGCCGAAAAAAACATCAAACATTTCCCTAGTGGCTCTGAAGGACACCTCGAAAGTGCCAAAGAAACCATCCACAAATATGCTCAAATGCACGAAATGTAATGGCCGTCTATCAAGATTGTGACAACTAATCGCCCAGGTATATGGAGATTTTTAATACGGTTATTAGCTCACCTACTTCTGACCAAGACAGCGAAGCATAGCCTAAACTTCCCGACGAACGACCGGCGAACGACAGTGAGGTTTGGAGCTCTTGGTGAATGGCGCTGAAGAGGAAGGAGCCCTTCGGCGAGGGAAGTGCCGGTCGAGTGGCGGGTCTGCGGCCGGCCGCGGCGTTATGCGAGGGTGTGGGTGGTGCATGGAATGTGTTAACCTCGAAATGTTCAGCAGTGAGCAGTGGCCACCAACCACCAATAACGCTTGAAAGGTGGATTCCCGACAACATCCATGTATGGAGCATATATGCCTTCTGGGTGTCCGAACTGACCTGTAACAGGCCCTGTAATTAGTGATCACTTTTTTTGAACAAGGTCTGCAACCTAACCATCATCATCCACTGTTACTGGCAATAATAGGATGGACTGATAGACCCAACATACGCCTATGTTGACCACCTTTTGCCACCCCCTCAATGTTTGCAATGCACCGACGACCAAGGCTTCCTGCCTCCGCTGGGTGCGCAGTGCTCCGGGCAGCATGGCGGCGCAAGCTTGGACAATGAGGCGCGCTGGCGGCGGCGGTCGCAAGGAGAGAGCCAAGTGCTAAAAGGACCGCCTAAAGACCCAGAGATTGCAGGGAAACAGACACTTCCATGATCTCCCGATAATTGCAATTTTGCGCTACATAACTTGATTGAAACGAGGTGAATATGTTAGATTCATTTGCAAGTCGACCATGGAGCGTTTGGGTTGGGATTGGATTTACTTACGATCCCAGGTCCACCCCTGGGTTTATGAGGCCTGTTCTTGGGAGTCAGGACTCCTGTCCCATTGAGTTGTTGGGACAGAGTCAATATCAATGCAAGAATGGAATGATATGGAGTGGTTCCACTGACGCAGTTTCGATATGATTTGTTTATCAAATACCGTTTCACGTCGACTATGGAGCGTGACAAAAATAGAACCTATAGGACGCGAAATCGATGAAACCCTGTGTCCAGAAGTATTGTAGCCCATTGAACCGTGCTCTCGCACTGCAAAATTGTTTTGCTTAGTCCCGAAATCTCCTAAAACTTCCAAAGTTCGCAAATTCATTGCGAAAATCCCAGCTGCGGGAAGGTAGTCATGTTCGGCAAAGCCAATGAATGTTTTTTTGTTTTGTCCCTGTATAGTCGTTGGAGCCCCTATAGCCTATATTACTATGTGTTTTTGAAGAGAGTTCCATGTGGTGCTGCTTGGTGATGGCCCCGCTGCATGTCAATCATCGTTTTTCATCCCACGGTTGCTCGTTTTGTTACGTCAAAAGGTCGGCCGAACCGTTCTTGGCGTGTGAGTGACATCCCACCAAGCTTTTGAGGAGAATGTAGGGCTGATCAAATCCATTTTTGCTGTTTTTGCTTTGTGTGAAGCTGGAACATGTGCTCCATTGGAGTTCAGCGACAAGAAGAAACATGTAGACATGAAAACCCCCCCCACACCAACATGTACAGTCAATCCTGTGCATTGTTTTTAGCAGAGTGTGTGGGTCTGAGAATATCTTACAGTCCTCTTGGGAGCTGCAATGATAGGAGGATCCGTTCGTTCGCAACATTGCGAGGGGGAAACGGGAATTTGCCATGGGCACGCGAGGACAGACTTGGAGGGTAGAGTCTTCTCCAGGTCCCTCACCAGCATATTCAAAAAAACAGTCCAAAAAACCTATATATATATATACATGTATTATTCATATATGGTATATATAATATGGTATTTACTGTACAAAAGATGGTTCCAATCCTCAGCCAAGCCCCTAAACACATAATATATTACTATATATATTTATATATCTACATTGGTGTTGTTGAAAAGGGTTCAACTCAATAGACCATGGAGGCATATATTCCATACAAAGATGGTTTAGAGACCTTTAGGACCTGCCACTTATGATCCATGTATGATATGCGAGTGGTAGTAATGGTAGCCTCAAAATACCCTAGATAGATGTAGTCACATGCAACACTTGTTTTTTTTGTCCACCTACAAAAAGGGTTTCTTGCACTTGCACGTTTTCTTTCTTCACTGACCTGCCACTTTCGACTGGAGGCGCGAGATCATGTGCGTGCCTTATGGATCACCCGGCTTCGCAGGTCCAGGCGGGGCCCGAGGTCGACCGTGAGGTGCAGGTGAGTGAGACCAGACGAATGGGACGGAGTTACGACCGCGTGGAGTGGTGAGAGCCACAGACATATGTGGCGCCCAATAACTCCAGTCGCATGGATGGTCTGGGAGAAGGGGAGAACTCGAACCGCTCGAAGCATCGTAAAGAATATGATTGGTCTTCATTGAGCCCCGGAAGCTGCTTGGGAAGTCACAGCACGGGACTCAAGTTAATTACTACCCTTTTGTCACATTCGGTTCGAAAATGGTTACGAAGTGGTTGGAACCCGAGTCAACACGCCAAGCGTGGCCAAGAGCTGTTGTCAGGTGCCTGGATTAGGGCTAGATCAATTTGGTAGGCCTATCCCTCGCAAGAGGGAACTGAGCTTGGTGGGTTTGATCCATGCACTCTGTCTACTGAAAGAGTACGATTGAGTAAACTTGTCTCATATATGATCAAGTGGATTTTCAAGAAGCAGCTTCTGCAATTAATTATTGATGTTCCCTGCTTTTGTTAAACCTGTTCCGACTTTACTTCGAGTGACCCCCACCCTGAAAGGCGATTTGTGCGGATTGACACAATGTTCTGACGCTTGTTCTGGCATCAAATCTGGTTTGTCATACATCATCTATCATAAGGGCTGGGAAACGTTCTGGACTGTGTTCTGACATCTTTGTTGGCGTGTGGTTTGACATTTTTCCTGTCTGACATGTATTCCGACAGTTGTTCTGCCATCAAAGATATCCTGGCATTCCATCTGGTGTACAATCGGTATTCTGATATTCTATCTCGCATTTAATCAGAAATTCTATTTGGCGAGGTCCGGTGGTGCCCACTGCAATCTGGAGCTGGCTGCTAGTTAAGGTTCCGCCCACTGCGATCAGGAGCTGGCGGAGGTCTTAGGTTCAACGAAGAATTGCTTTGTTAAACCGAAAACGATGCAGTCATAACGCTTGTTATGCTAAGCGTCCACTCTGCAACCGTTCGTGGTGTACAAGGCTATATGGTTGGTACAAGAATTGAAGAATAGCACGTTGGTTGGCGGATGTTGGCGGCCGAATAGAATCTTCAATTCCAGTGACTGTCATTGACTGTCTTATTCAGTAGCTTTAGAGTGCAACATTTTCAGAAGAAGAAAGGTATTGATCGAGCACACCTGCCGGTTGCCTCGTGCGTTCACAGAGATGCAGAAGACTTGAGGCCGGTCAAAATGTACGAAAAATGGCACAGGACAAAAACAACAGGTTTCATGGCACTGGAGACAGAGACAATGAGCATACACATGAAGCTCTGTAATGAATGAGTGTGACCATGAGATCAATGCAAGCAGGACGTGTCCAGCAGACACAATGTTTCCGAAACGCCATCAAAACATGATGTTTTATACCTTCCGAGGGTATAGTCAGCAACCTTTCGACTCAAAGTGATGACACCAACAGCGACAACAACAAAAACAACAACAATTTGTTCCAGCTGTAGCGCAGTCGTGATGAGTGTTTTCAAGACGTGGCAACAAAGGGTTGCTGAGCTGGCAGGGGCTTCAGAGGAAGAACGGCAACGATCGACATTTCGACCCGTCCTCCGATCCGTCACGCTCACGCGAGATCAGGACTGTGAACCGGTATTTGGTCCGGCCGCTGGCCGCTTCAGGTCTTACCATGGCATGACAAAGCCATCAATCAGTTTCGTGAGTTTTCGAATATTTCGGAAACTTTCAGCTGCAGGCTTCCATCATGGGAGCTGAAATGGTGATGGCTGGGGGTTGGAACCTTACTCCCAGTGAAAACATGTTTTTGCAGGACGGTTCTTTTCGCCCTCTCGCTGTGCGTGATCATCGGGACCAATTTTTGCCCACGAGATGACAAGGTGACCGAGCGATTGACTACTGTGTGTCTCTTGTCTCCTGGCCTTAAGGGCCACTCCGCTTAGTCTTTCACGCAGGAAGCCTTCGGCGATCACAAAGCGGTGGTCTTCCACGTTGATGGCCTACCAGAACCAAGACTGGCGGAGTTGCGCTCCATTAGCAACCCGTTCTACACCTCCGGGGAGCGGTGCAACATCCTGCACAGCTTGGCCGGATCCTATGTGTGCTGACAGAATCGTTTTGAGTGAGCGCGAGCATGTTTGAGGATGACTGATTGTTCGAGCATGTTTGAGAATCCAGGGCGGGGGTACCGAATGAATTCAGCAGGAATATGGGACCGAGGTCCATCTGCTCAACAAGCGCGACAATGCAGTGCCCACTGCGATCTGCGGTTGCTGTTGAGGTCCGGTAGTGCCCACTGCAATCTGGCACTTGCAGTTGAGGTCCGGTAGTGCCCACTGCGATCTGGCACTTGCAGCTGAGGTCCGGCAGTGCCCACGATCTGGCGCTTGCTGTTGAGGTCCGGTGTAAGAGGAGAAGAGAGAGGAGAGGAGAGGAGAAGAGCCCTGATAAAGTCTAACAACCCTCACTTGGCAGGTGGTGAACAAATCTTGTGTAAGGGAAGTTCAACGATCTGGGTCTTGGATAACAATTGTGAGCAGATGAAAAAGGTTGCAGGGTGCCGGGAGGACTTGAAAGTGAGTCCTTCCTTGTTGCCATGGGTTTGGTTGAAATCTGAACACAGGGGTGTGTCCATACCCCTAGGATCAGGACCACTTTGAACCTTGTGGCAGCCGAGAAGATGGATGGTAAGAAGAACATGCCAACTCATGAACTGAAAAAGGTTTTGGCAAATGTCTGTGTTGACTACAGCCGGAACCCAGTTCGGAAGGCATTCGCGACAAAGCAAGGGAATCCCCATACATGTATTGCACCTCAACTCGTTTGTTTCATTTTGGTCGTCAGGCTGCAGTGCAGTCTAGTGCTACCAACTGAGATGATGTGGTTTCAGGGTGACAATCAGCACCAGTCAGCATCTCGTTTCCAACATGCCGCTTGAGAATATCATGAAACTGGCTAGGGAGGGCATTGCGGCATTGCATTGTCATGCTTGGCACTTTGAGAACACGAACAGTTTTTTTTCAGAAATCTGCTGGTCCGGACCGATCCACTGATCCACAGAAAAGTCCAACTGAAGTGACCGAGATGGGTCAAAAACCAGAACCCGAACACCCTGGTAGGTTGACCTTAGCCAAGGTATCCAGGTTTTGAAACACGACCATTATAACTATAAATATGTATAACACGGCAGGTAGAATCCAATGAACTGAAACGCTGGAACTCTGCCGTTTGAGTCTAAGAGTTCCTTTAAAAAAATCACAAAAGAACGTGTGTGAACAAACATAGCGACCAGATGAGAAATTTGATGGTCTCCAAATTTGTGGGTTGCTATGTTAATTCTGGAGAGGCTAAACGTGCTCCTGCTATGATGCTTTGCGAGCAACAATGCGCGGTGACCTCGATTGTTTGAATCAGCTCTCACAGAGTGATTCAATGATTGCAAACGCACTTTAGTTTCAGCAGTTTTCGGACATCCAGATGTGTATGTGTCCTTTTTCCTTGCAGAGTTTTATACCCAACCATGGTTGACTTCAATGCATTCAAGTGCCACCAACTTGAAAAAAATCTGGATGGGATTTGAAGTTCAAACTCAGTTTGGACCATGTCCACTGGGCCTTAGCAGCTACATCTTCCATGGTTATGGTTGTCGGGATCACTCGGATTTGGGTTTCACACGGAAAACAGATCAGTGCCTCGAGCCGAGCTACTGTTGTGTTGATTGAAAAGATGACATGACCTTCAAGCAACAAAAGGCATCTCATGGGCAGCTCAACCCGGTGCCTATTGGAGGGGGGGAGCGGTACCCAACACCTCCACTCATGTGCGGTTCCCAACACCACCCAGAAACATGGAAAATCCGAACTCTGAATTCTTCACACACCTTCATCCCTCCGTTTTTGTTGCGTTGCCTCGGTTTTTTTTCGCTCGTTTGGGCGCTCCGATTTCCCGCGCGCCCGCGCGATCCGAACACCGCACCGCACCAGCACCGCTCTCCAGCTCTCCAGGTGAGAGCTCTTGGACTCGCTTCTCGGTGTTTCTAGGCGCCCTCCGTGAATTTGCAGTGAACTGATGTGAACCACTGAAAAAAAATAGCTGACGGGGAAGATTGGATGTTGTTTGGGCCTAGGTTTTCACGAGCTGAAAAAGCTCGTGAACATTCACTTATGAAGGATTCCAACCCTGAGGGTCCACATACCTTTTTGATCAGCTGGGCGATGTGTTTTGCTCAACGTTTTGTTTCCATGACTTCGTTTGGGTGTGTGGGTGACCGACTGGGTGACCGGGTCGGTGATTTCACCCCCCGCCCCTGAACAGCATAGGTCGTCTTATGAGTGGAAAGACCCCACATGTTTGGATCTATGTGGGAAATGGTGTGAAAACCAACCCCATATCATGGTGATGCATTTCTTTCAATTTCTTGGTGAATCATGACAATCTCGTTTCAGAACAACAGGAACCTGTTGTTTTGCCAGCCGCTCTCAGCGCCCGTTGACCAAATTAGATCATTTTAGATCGCTCTCAGCGGATTTGACTGAATGTCAACCTAGAGCTCAGGTATTACTATATATTTATACAAATGTTAAGTCCTTTACAGTACATGAGACCGCTGCTCTGCACCGCCGAACACAGCAGCATCACAAGTCAGAGGTACTTATACATGAGAGAACGAGAACTCCCTCTACTTGTCAGCCAAAGTGTAATTATTATAAAGTGTTAGGGTGAGAGAAAGCATCCCTCTTCACATTTCGAGAGCTCTAAAATCCAATATAATCCAAAACCATCTCACCATCACCCAAGGTGCTTTAGAAGAACCGTGTCGCGCCGCTGCAGGCGTGGATGGGCGGATCGTGGTGAGGTTCCAGGACGCCGAGTGGGGCAACGTCCTCCCCAAGGACCCGCCGAGTCGGGCGCCTCGACTCCCCAGTGCGACCGACCACGCGGCGTTCGTGGCGGGTGGACGAACACACGAAGGAAGGGAGCCCGACATGCGTGGGGTGAACTAGCCGGTGCATGACCTGATCAACCCGGTTCAACCCGTGGGGTGAACTCCCCGGAAGGGATCCAGTCGTACCGAACCTCAGACTTGGATGACTTGGACCCTCCTGGCACCTACGGAACAGTGAAGACAACACATCACCGTACCTCAGAAAGGATGTGAATGCCTAAATGCCCTAAATTGAGAAACGGTAACCTTTTCTTTGGCGGTATGAAACGCGGCAAGCCGCTCGTGCTGTCACGCGTGAAAACCACCACATGATGGATGTACAGGACCTGCCGCAGCGTTTCCCAAAACAGCGGGACCCAGGGGACGGTGACGGTCGTTGTTGCTCGGTGGAACCGTCAGTGACGGTCGTTGAAGCAGTCTGCTTGGCATTTTCACCAGGTTGAAGTCTGAAGTCCGAATCTTTAACCACTCAAATGCTTGGATTTGTGCGGGCTGACCGAACCATGGTTCTAGCGAAAAGTCGGCATCGGCATAGGGCGTCTTTCGCGCCAGACTTTTCAGAAGCGATGCGCAGAACAACATAACAAACACATCATGAGGCCCATGGTCTTTTGTGACCGATATCCATGTGGCTCAACAAAGTGTTCGACCCGGACATCCTGCAGGTTTGGAGGATCTTGTTGTCTGTTTTCCAGTCCTAGTCCTAGTGCGGGTCACGCCGGCCACTGGTTGTTGGTCCAGGCTGATTTTGTCATATTTTGTCCATCAACAGCATGTGATTGCTGATTACCTATCAACTGTGAACCAAGAGAAACAAAAGATAGTACGAACTTAGTCCAACGTGTTTGACATGCATAGTTTTCCATATAGTTGTCCTTTTCTGGTTCCTTCAAATCTCTCAGAATCTATTGATTGCTGCCTGTCGCGATGGTTACTTGTGCCCCCATTTGTTTCCACCAGGAGCCCCTTGAGATCCTCAAGCGTGCCTCTGTGACCCTCAGCATCGGCATCCTCGTCCCATTGGGCCCCGAAGTCGACGTCCCAACGGGCCCCATTTTGGGACGGTGGACACCGTCTTCATCCGTCTTCACTTACAGAGGGGTAGGATCAAAAAGGGAAGAAAGATGGGTCGGACATACATGCCAGTCTCATCCAGAGTGCGTCTCTGTGGCTTGGATTCCACGTCTGGCTAGACGTGGCACGTAAAAACGGATGGGTTGTCTATGAGTCCTGTGAGTCCTGGACATTCGTCTTCAAGACCATTTTGTCCGGTGAAAAAGAGGTTCCATGTATAGATCCACGCGGAGGGAAGTCAGTTCCACTTCTGTTTGGAAGTTCGAAGGGCTGCGAGAAGGCTGCGAGATCGTTGGGAGTAAGCTGGCACCTGGGGCCCCTTTCACTCACCCGGGCTGGGTGCCCAAACGTAGAGCCTTGTAGAGCCTCCCTTTGTTCATTTCTGTGGTCAACCGGTTGGTCTCTGGGTGACCCATAGCCATAGCCATGTCATTTTGAAGCCAAGCGTAGTGCCGATGTTGGCACTAGGCAGAAGTACTTGGAAGTCATCACGGGAAGGACCATTGCGAAGCATTGCGGAGCACCCACAGGAAGGACATATCAGAAATATGATGCAAATCTGAACAAAACAAACAACATGATGCACAGGGGCGTGAAGCTTCTCCAGGTTTCTTTGGCCCTCTTTGGCCCTTTGGATGATTCTCTGTGATTCGGACCTAGGTTGTAGGTGTTTGTTCCGGCGGTGTTTGGTGCGTATCGAACCATCAAATCATCATCACCAGCACGTTAAACCTGATCACAACCAACTGAGAGGGTGTCATCGGCCGAATGATCGCGCCCAGGCACCTTCTATCCTTGGGAAACCAAGTGGTCCGTGTGCGCAGATGAGCCAAAAGAGTGGGCAGCGGATTCGGCGGTTGTTTCTGTCGTTGTTTCTTTTTTGGTTCTTCAAGTACCCAGTGATGGACATATATTCGCATAGAGACAGAGATCCTCTAGATACAAAGCGTTCCTTCCAGTTACCCAGCCCAGACGAGATGAAAGGGACTGAAAGAGTTGCGACCAGATGGATGGGTCATAAATATATGGTAGATGTTTGTAACTAATTACTCCAGTCTCCTGGATGGTTTGGGCAGTTGCCCTCCTTGGAATCATCAGGGAAGTGGATGGCATGGCCCCATAAGCACGATTCGGGTGGTGAACTCCACTTTCATGATTCCAATGAAGTGTAAAGTATCCCCAAACCAAGCAGTAGAGATCGACGGAAAGAAATCAATATGGCCAGCGCATTCTTCGTCCAGCGCAGATTTTTGTTGCAGGTGATATTTTTTCACATTTTTTGCATGTCAAGGGGGCCCCGGGCTAACTTATGTTATATAATGTAATATGTATATGATCACACAGCACCCAGGTACATTCATGGTAGGTGTTTGTTGATGAAACATCTTTGCTTATGTGTTTGAACAGAGTCTGTGTACCACAGGGCAAGGATGAACGTCTCAAGTAACAAGGGTGATCGATTCGGATGTTGACTTCTGAAGTCTCCATTTGGAAGTCTCCATGCGGAAGCGTCCAGCACCACAGATCGAGAATGCCTCATTTTGAAGGAAGGCGTTCTTTTTTTGTGAACTGTTTTCAAAACGGAACGGTATGAAGGAAGGCGTTCTCATACCATGGCGTTCTCATACCCAAGTGAAGGTGTCAGGAACGCGTTCCTGTTTGAAGGTATGTTCACTTGGGTGAACTGTTTTTTTTTTCGAGTTTTCGCAGCCCCGGTGTTTCATGGTTTTCGGGGAAGGAACCGTGGTCGAAGTTCCAGACCGAACGGTTGAAGTGTGGTACCGCACCGTCATACCGGACCCACCAGACCTGTCAGACGCATGGTGTGCGCGGACCACAGGAACAAGAACTAGCAGGTCCAAAACAACCAATTGAAAGCGGTTGAGCTGCCTTCGGAGATAGTTGTTGACATGCTTTGCATGTACCCGACAGGGCTCCAGTCGTACCACCGAAATGAAGGTATGACTGGACCCTCCTGGCACCCTCCCCTAACACCTTCCAAGAAGGTACTTGGAGCGAGCCCTAGCGATAAATATTTGTTCGTCTAGAAAGGTCTCGAATCTCTGAGATCTAGAATCTAGAAAGGTCTAGAAAGGTCTAGAAAGGCCACCTTTTTTTTGTCTATAAGGAACTTCCTCGACCGGACCGTCTTCAGGCGAAGGCCTCGGCGGACTTCGTGAAGAGCGCGGCGTCGAATCGAGAAGTGCAGGCGGGTTGAGCGGAGCGGTTGAGCGGCCGAAAAGAACGGGCGCGGTTCGGGGGACGGTGCGGTTCCTAGTGCCACCTGCTTCTTTTTGTTGATATTATGCATCATGGTGTTGGAACAGCCATAGCTGTTGCAGGATGTCTTCCTCCAACAGTACTGGTGGTGAAGAGGATGACTGAGGCTCTCCTAGCCGTGTCATCCATGATGGTTTTATGAAGATCTTGTCCATGATTTGCAAGTGGCTACTACACGAGTCAAAGCTATTCTGTGATACTCACGAGTCCCATGTTTACATCCTTATAGGACATGATTAAAGACCAGATATACTACCCAGACACTCCATGGCATGGAACATTTACCTACATTGACCCCCCTTTTCAAGCACAACAGCTGATCGGTACATAGGTCAGTCCCATGGATGGTCTGGGATAAGATATACTGGTACTGGACTATTGATGAGATTTCAACCCCCCTAACCCAGGCCTGCAGATCTGAGCGACCATCGACGATGGACGATGCAGCAAGGGGCTCTATTCACCAACAGCAATGCAGAATCCACTGTAATTAGCAAGTTTTTTTCATGTTCAATCATGGACCATGGAACATTAAATAAGACAATGACCCACATCTTGATGTTGTTCCCAACATGGGCAGCTATGAATCATGACCCCTCCTTCATGCAACACTCTTGGATCCCGAAATGGTTCAGTTTTCTCCGACCACCGCCTCGATGATGTACACGACGCCCGAACCAGGTCCAGTTTGACCCAGGTCCAAAGCTCGTCCTTTGACATATAATACCTCATTGAGTATAGTAGTTGTTATTTTTGTATGAGCAGCTTTAATGAAATTAGCTCCAAGTCACCTGCAGGGCAATCTGCTGGCTTGGATTCAACCCTCCAGTTTGGACAAAGAGCCTTGCTGACAAGGGTGAAAAAGCGCTCAGAGCACACAGCATCAAAGGTTTGGGTTGTGAATGTTAACAAGGAGACCTACCCACCCAACTAATGGATTCAGGTCTCGCTAATTTCCATCCATGTCAACATGAACAGCTAGCTCGTGAAATGCCCACAGCGGCCTCAGCTTCTCTCATCAAAACTGTCGACACTCCCGGACACTCCCTCCTAAAAGTTCGGATATCCATGCAATCCATATATATATATATTTCAACAGGTGGTTTCCCACTTCACGCAACCATGCATGATTCGACTCGGGGAGTGTTATTTTCTTACATAGAACTGTACCTCTGACTCATAGATCCCATGCAAGCAACACGAATCCAGATACTGAGAAGGTACTTGGAGTGGAAGGTCCAGAGACCTTCCGAGGGTCTCAGGTCAGGTGGTCCACTTCACGACTTCACGCAACGACTAGCCGCAGGTTTCGGCCCTGGGTGCCGGCTGCGGCTCCATCGCTCTGGGCACGGCAGGCGCCGCCGCGGGCGTCGGGAGCACTCAGTCGGCGGGTGACTTTTGGGTGGCGCAATTGAGGTTGACCTCTCGAACTTTGGATCCCAACGGTTCAACTCAACTCCCAAACAATTCTGGGCAGTTCACCATCCAAAATGGTCCAAATGTGGGATGAAACTATGAAGTGGAATCAGGTTGATCATATTGGTTATTGATGTTCATATTGCTTATTTTTTGTGTTGCTCCTACAGATGATACTCCTTCACCAAAAGCGGTTTTCTTGGAGGCAGATGCAACTCTGGCTGGCCAGTCTTCCCCCCCCATTTGCACCAAGAACAAAAACCCTTCAGCAACACTTATGAGACATTGGTTCGAACGCTTTCATACAGATGGCACAATCCCCAAGTTTGGTGGCTTATATGGACCCCATTGAACCCCCATCTAAAGGACATCTTGGGGTCCGTGCCATCTACTCTGAGACCACTGTAAGGACTCGACTCGCGTCGCCACTGTAGGACTCGACTCGTGTCGCCTTAGAGTCGCGCGGAGTTGAAATCGTCCAAGTCTCAGATCGCATCTCAGATCGCGGTTGTAAGACAATTCCCAGACGCGACTAATGGGACTGCCATATATGCCGATCAGTTGGGGTGGTGCCAGAGGGGTCAATGTAGGCATATATGGCAGTCCCATGGAGCGTTTGGGATTGTATACAATGGCCTCCAAACACTCATGAGTCCACTTCACAATCCCTTGTCAACTCAAGCCCCCATCAGAACTAAAAATAGCATCACATGCCGTTCTGTTTTTGTTCACGGCTGTCGAGTCATGGCCTTCCACCCACACCACAAATGCTCCTTCACGACGGTGTACGACGCGCATAGACTCGCGGCGGTCGCCTCCTCTGCCACCAAGGCCTGTGGTGGTGGCCTCGTGGGAGGCCTGGTGGGCTTGGTTCCAGCGGTCTTCACCTTTGGGCTTTCCATTCCCATTGGCCTCTCAGCGGCAGTGGGAGAGACCTCCTGGACCGGTGAGACGTCGGTGGTGAGACGTCGAGTGCAGTGCTGTTGAACACGTCGGTGGCGGTGTATGGCAGTGTATGGACGGTTGGTGCAAGTGGTACAGATGGGAGGGAGAGATGGTTGGCTTCAAAAATGAACGAACGAAGATAAACAAGAGTTGGTGATCATGATGGTCAGGTCGCTTCTTTATGTACATGCCCAAAGTGGCCCTGTTCAAGGGAGAGCATGGATGATCACCTGATGGAATCCGCCAGATGGGTTGGGAGGGTTCACCTGACTGCTGAGGGGTTGGGAGCGCCTTGGATCCTTTCACTCGGTTTCAGTCCCTCATAGAACCAGGTATGCACGCCAGTCGTTCGCCGCTTCTCGTCATTCGCCGAGGCATTGCCGTGGGCGGCACGACAGGGTTGGTGGCGGGTGGCGCGGTCGGGTGCTCAGGAGATTTGCGAGTGAAGAAGAGTCATCAAAACTAATCCCTAATACCAGCGGCCCGAGAAA